GCTGGCTTTGGACTCACAGCAGTCCTCCTGCCTCAGCCTCCTGAGTGCTAGGATTACAGGTGTATGCTGCTCTTAATGGTTCTTATCCACGTTAGATAAAGTATGTGTCATTTTTGCTTCTTAAAAAATTTAGTAGACCTGTGTTTTTTTTGGGGTTTTTTTGGTACCGGGGATCAAACTCAGGTCCTTGCGCTTGCGCAGCAGGCAGTGAAACCACTGAGCTAAATCCCCAGCCCTGTGGACCTGTGTTTTAAAGTAAATTTTGGAAATAACATGGTATTATTACTACTTACTACCATGTTTTATTTTTGTTATCTTTACAACAAGATTCTAAAACTTTTAAAGGTGAAGATCATGTTTGAAAAAAGATTTTTCTTATTCAAAAGTCTTTTTTTTTGTTTGTTTGTTTCTTTTGAGACAGGATCTTGCTATGTAGCCCAGGCTGGCCTCAGTCAAGGTAATCCTCTGGCCTCCACCTCCCTGGTGCTGGGCTACCATGCCCAGCTTTAGAAGTCATTTATTAAACCTCAGCTCTCCGGACTATAGCTGCGAACTCGGAGCAGCCTAAATAGATGTGGTGGAGAACATTCTCTCTGCTCCCCACCCACCCGTTAGAGTGTAGGACTTCCTGGCTTCACATTTCTGCTCTGGGGCTAGGGATTTAGCTCATTGGTTCTGGTGCCTGCCCCGAAAGGGCAAGGACCCGAGTTTGATCCCGGTACCAAACAAAACAAAACAAAAAAAACAGCACGTTTCTACTCTGAAAGCAAGGAGCACTGAGGCCCTGAGCAAGTTGCCTCTGTTTTCTCATCATTCAGATACAAGTGATAGTAGAGAGTGTATCATGAGGTAGTTTTGTGCATCAAGTGAGATAATGGGTGTTCTTGGAAAGTACCTGGCGTGGAGCTCACATCCCGTATGCCAGCTGTGGGTGCATTTGTGATTGATATTAGAGGGCTGAAAATCCTTAGATCTGGAGATACAGTGGGAAACAAGGGGACTGGAGGAGGCTCTTAGGGCATTGTGCCTGAGAGAGCAGTGATGAGGGAGTGTGGGTGAGGGAGGACACCTGATCCTCAGGAAAACTTCCTCGGGAAGGTGAGATGAGGCCTAGGATTCCATCCAGCTCCTGCCTTACTAGCGCTCTGACCTCAGGCAAGGTATTCTCAGTGTATCTCATCAGTGAACCAGGAGTTCTAATAGTACTTGTGATGAGTATGAAATGGGATATGAAAGGCTTGTGTACAGGGCCTTGAAATAGAAGTGCTTAAGCTGGGTGTGTTGGATGTTGGCTCCTACCTGTAATCCAGTACTGGAGAGGCTGAGGCAGGAGTATGGCTGGGAGCCAGGCCTACCTAGCAAGCCCCTGGTCTCACCCACCTCCCCAGGAAAGTGCTTAGTACGTTAGCAAATATTATGATATTAAGAATTGCTGTGAAACTGAGAATGAGGTTTATTTAGGTGACTAGGTGCTGAGGGGTGGGCATGAAAGGGTATTCTTTGCAGAAGAAACGTCAACAATAAACCTTACAAGATGAAAGGGAGTGCAGAAGATGGAAAATTTGGAGGACCAAGAGAAGTTTGAGGTTGGAGGCTTTGATGACAGAGACAAAACTGGAGAGGTTAAGGTAGGGCCACATTCTGAAGGGCTTTGCCTTGGAGTCGCTGAGGAGTTTCCAGAGAGCGCAGATGGGGTCAGAGGTGAGTGTGTGCCACAGTGGGGATAATGGCTGCCCCAGAGCAGATCTGATACCGAGGAGAAGACAGGGAGGGAGCTGATAGTGGTAAAAAGTCAAGAATCTTTAGAAAGTAGAACTGCAGCACTCCCGTTAAACTCTCTCTCTCATGCCCAGCCGCATAGTTTTTACCTGAAACACTTCTCCGGGGAACAGGAAGAGCTGGAGAAACAACCTAAAGGAAAGATGACAAAAAAGACCACGCCAGCCTGAGGGAGAATTTTTATCTCCTGAGTCCTTTGAGGGAAAGCAAGTTAAATTATCTTCACTCTTGTGCTGTGCTATAATTAAGTACCCATTACCTATCAAAAAACAAAACCAAAAAATGGTTCATGACTGAGTGGAGAATGAAAAAAAAATACACACACACACACACACACACACACACACGCATACATATGCATGCAGGTTGTGTGACAGAGGGAGAGTAAATTGAAAAGGTTACTCCTGGGGTCTGGATGTGGAATATGGGGTACTGTGCTTTGAAGAGTCATTCATTTAGATGCAGAGTTGAAAAGACTAGGTATGAGGCTCAAGGGAAGGTGATGAAGTCAATTTTGAAAACATAGAATTTGAGGGTCTTACTGAGTGTGGCAAGCAGTTGGAGATACAGAACTGAGTTTCAAGAGAGACACAGACACTGTCGCTTAGATTTGGGGCCCATGAGCCTATGAAGTCGTGGAACAGTGATGAAGGAGCAGGGAGGGGAGGAAGACTGGACACGAGCTTGGAGAATACTGTACTGCCTGGGCAGGTTATAAACCTTTGATTTACTCCCTCACAGCCCCATGTCTAGTGTATCTGCGAATTTTGTTGGGCTTACCTTCAAAATCTAAATTGAAGTGGATATTTCTTATCTCTTCCCCTGATAACTTGCCAGTTATTTCTCCTGTGGCAATCATAGCTTTCCAGATTGCCTTCCATGATCCTACTCTAAATGCTCAGTGATACAGGACTGTGCGCAGAACTCAGTTCCTGGAAGAGGTGGCTGCTTCTGACCTGTGATTATAAGGGCAGGATCAATGTGAGGCAAGCAGGACAGGAAGGGAGAGGTGCCTGAGGCCAAGGTGAGAGTCCTGGGCTGTCCATTACTGCCCTTGGAGTGCTGGGAGAATATGTTCCTCTATATTTTGTGATAACTCATCAGGTAACCGATAGATTTGTGATTTGTGCATTTTTCTTTATATATACTGTACTTCAGTATGAATTTAAAAATTATAGAATGTTAAATTTTTTAAATTTTTTTAAATTGTTAAAATTAAAAAAATTCCAACTAAACTGAATTCCAGAGCTGTGAAATCAGGGCTCTCTTTTTTTTTTTCTTGAGTGTCACAGATGATTCTGATTACTTACCTGTGGTTGAAAACCTCTGTGGAGATTGCAATTTAGAACTGGGAGGATTTAGGGTAGATTTAGGTGGAGATGAAAAGGCCAAGTACAATTTTTATCCCCATTAAAATGTTTAGCTTTTTAAAAACATAACATAAAGTTCTATTTATATAAAATTCAAAAACCAGCCAAAACTAATCTGCTGTTGAAAGTCAGGTGAGTCGGTTAAGGGGTAGAAATGGAAGAGAACAAAGGTGAATTCAGGGTGATCAATAATACTCATTATATGATTTACTCATTTCCTTAATATGTAACAAATCATTTCTTTTGGAGGGGGTATGGGGAATCGAACTCAGGACCTTGTGCTTGCCAGGCAGCTGCGGTGCCACTGAGCTACATTCCCAGCCCCACAAGTCAGTTTTTAAAGTACACAGTATTTTTAAAAATCCATTCATTTTTGAGATGAAGAAACTAGGGCCTGGGGAAACTTTAACATACAGTGTAAGAGCACAATCATTTCCTACTGCCCAACTAGCTGGTGTGTGGTTTTGTTTTCCTCAGTGTGAGGTTGATCAGATGGTGTTATGGTTTGGGTCTAGATGTCCCCCCTCACCTACCGTGAGCCTGGCACAGGTGCCCAGCACCGAGATGGCAACATGTGCTGGCTTTGGTGAGTCCCGAGGTGTGATTGGATGCCATCTGCTGCCATGGCAAAGGGATGGTGATGGGTGCACTTCCTGGTCCTTGTTTGTGACCAGTAAAGGCAGTAGGCACAGGGCGTGTACCATTTCTTGGGCCTGTGGGGAGAGATGGTCCAAATCAGTGCCTCTTTGGTGTCCAGTTGGAGGGCATCTTTGCCATGCCCCCAGGGAGAAGCTGGGCTTTGAAGCGGTAGGTCGAGTCTCGGATGGCTTCTTGGTGCAGTGTCAGGAAATCTGCCCCTGTGCTCTCACCCTAGGGCGCTTCCAGGACCAGGCCTTCCCTTCCTGCTGCGCCACCCCTCAAGGACCACACCAGCGGTGGCAAAACCAGACACTCAGGAGCTACGTGTTTTCTGCCATATTGCACAGCAGCATAAAATATTTAGATTTTAAACTTGGATCCTTGGAAGTTTTATTTCTTGGACTTATTTTGGGATATCTTTATTGAGGAACAATTGGCTGCATTTAAGTTATTTACTTTGATGTTTTAGTATATGTAGTTTTTTTCCCACATGGGGTGGTCTTGTTGCCCAGACTAGCCACTAATTGGGCATGGTGGAGCTTACCTACTTTAATTCAGCTCTCTGGAGGCTGAGGTAGGAGGATTGCAATGATTGCAAAGCCAGTCTTGACTGCATCGCAGGACAATGTCTCAAAAAAACAACAAGAAAACTCCGAAAAACAAAGAGATTAGTCATGAATTTATGATCCTCCTGCTTTAGTCTCCTGAGTAGCAGGGATTGCAGGCTGATGTTTCTATATATGTATGTATACACTGCGCTACCTCCCTTACAAACAAGATTTGACACATCCTTCTGTCCGCATTTTCCTCCTGCCCTTTTCTGTTCTACTGCTGTTCTCTCCTACATCCCTTGGCAACCACTAAACCACTGATCTGCTTTCTGTCACAATAGGTGGGCGTTGATTGTTATGTAAATACCTTTCCTGAATTGTATATTTTTTGTTAATTACACGTTGTGAATTGTACTGAACCAATTTCATATAAATGTAAACCAGTCTTACAGTTTGGGGACAAAACACCACTTGGTCATGATGAATTACCACTCTATATGATGCTGGATTTGCTTTGTTAATAATTTGGTTAGAATATTCCATCTGGGTTTTATTGCTTTGTAATGTCTATGTCTGTTTTTAGAGTCAGTAATTCTTATTGCTGAGACACAGTACCCAACACCCACAACTTAAAAGAGGAAGACAGATCAGTGTGTAGAGGGTTCCCTCCACAGTTGGCTGGCTGCAAGGCGGGGAGGCATGGGAAAGAGAACAGCAGAGGATTGCTCACGGCATGGTGGCTTCTGGCAGGAAGCAGAGAGGGATGGGGGAGACAGACCCTTCCCCCAGTGACCATGCCCCCAGTGACCACCTCCTCCAACCAGGCTTCACCTTCCAACATCAGTGTAGCTGTGACTTATCAGTAGACTAACCCACAGGTGAGTCTCACGGCCCCATGATCCAGTCTACTCTTCAAAGCACATGAGGCTTTAGTGGAACATCTAGATAGGAACCATAGTTGAGAGCTCATAGGAGCTCATAGATTGAGTTGGAAGTGTTCCTTAGTTTTCTAGAAGAGTTTGGGTAGGATTGGTATTTCTTCCTTTATGTGTACTAAATAGTGTAGTCAGAATTCACCGGTGAAGTACCTGCAGGCTGGAGTTTATGGGTTATCTGTTTTTAATTATAATGTCAATGTTTTTCTCTCTGGCATGCTGGGGATCAAACCCAGGGCTATTCATGTAGGCAAGTTCTTTCCCACCAAGGTATGCCCGCAGACCTAACTTCAGTTTGTTAAACGATGTTTAAGGGATCCTTTTCTCAACAGGTGAGTTCTAAGAGGGTGTGGTTTTTCTGGAATTTATCCCTTTCACATAACTTGTTGGATTTATTGACATGAAGTGATTTGCCATATTCATTTATCTTTTAAAAATTGAGATATGCACATATTATAAAAATTCACTTTTTTTTCTTCTCTTTTTTTTGGGGCACTGGGGATTGAACTCAGAACTCAGGCCTTACACATTTTAGGGACTTGCTCTGCCACTGAGCTATGTCCCCAACCCTTTTTTACTTCTGAGCCTGGAGCCTCTCTGAGTTGCTAAGTTGTCCAGGTTGGGCTCAAACTTATGATCCTCCTGCTTCAGCTTCCCAGAGTGCTGGGATTATAGGCATGTGCCACCATGCCTAGGTAGTCAGTTAACTTTGAAAGGTATTAACAAACTAAGAGGAAAAGTGTTTATTTTTGTATTTGTTCTTACAGTTACTATTTGTGACGCTTTTCTTTCCTCTGATAGACCCAGATTTCTGTTGTAGTATGTTTTCCTTCTGTCTGAAGAACTTCCTTTAACATTTCTTATAATTCGTTATCTGTTGGTGATGGATTTTTAAAAAGACTTTAAACTTGGGACTGGCAGTACAGCTCAGTGGTAGAGCACTTGCTTAGCATGTATGAGGCCCTGGGTTTGGTTCTCACCATCATACACAGACACTCACTCTCTCTCTCTCTCTCTCTCTCTCTCTCTCTCTCTCTCTCTTTATATATATATATATATATTTTTTTTTTTGGTACCGGGGATCGAACTCGGGTCCTTGCACCTGCGCAGTACAGACTATATTTTTATTTCATCTCTTTTTTTTTTTTTTTGGTACCAGGGATTGAACTTGGGTCCTTGCGCTTGCGCAGCAGGCGCCAAAACCACTGAGCTAAATCCCCGACCCTATTTCATCTCATTTTTGAAAAGTATTTTCTCTGGATATGGAATTTTGGGTCAACAGTGACAGTACCTGGAAAATATACTTCCCCTGTGGTATTTCCTGTGGTATTTCCCATGAAACCTGTGGTGAGCCTTAGTCCTCTGCCACTGAACTGCATTCTGCCCTTTTTAAAATTTTATTTTGAGGGGCTGGGGATTTAGCTCAGTGGCGCTATGCTGCCTTGCAAGTGCAAGGTCCTGAGTTTGATCCCTGGTACCTCAAAAAAATAAAAAAAATTTACTTTGAGATAGTGTCTAAGTTGCCCAGGCTGGCTTTGAACTTCAGTCCTCCTGTCTATCTTCTGAGTAGCTTTTAAGACACTCTTTATTATTGATTTTAAGCAGTCTGATTGTGATGTGGCTCACTGTCTTGTGCTTGGGTTATTGAGTTACTTTGATCTGTGCATTTGTAATTAAGTTTGGGAAGTTTTGGCCCTTTTTTCCAACATTCCTTTTTTTTGCTTCTCAAGTCTTTTAGGAACTTCATTGTCAATGTGTTTAAACTTCATGGTGTTCTACAGCTCATTTATATATTTTTTTAATATTTAAGATTTTTATTTTTCATTAGTACATAATGCTTACATTCCTCATGGGAGGTTGGTGCACGTCTTAATTCTTTTTACCCCTCCCCCATCTCTTGGTCTACTTTTCTATTTGTAAAAATTTTTTCCCTGGTCTTGCTTTTCTCTGTGTTTTATTTTGGATGGTTTTTATTGCTGTTATTTATTGACCTTTTCTTTGAAGTATCTAATCTTGTTAATTCCAACCAATGTATTTTTCATCTCAAGCATTGCATTTTCCTTACTACAAAAGTCAGTTTGAGTTTGAAAAGAATATCTTCCACATCTCTACCTAAGGCAGGGATGTACTCAGCGGCACCACACCTGCCTGGCAAGCGCAAGGTCCTGAGTTCGGTTCTGATACCAGGGTGGGAAAAGTTTAATCTTTTTATCCACCTTTTTTTTGGTTTTTTTTTTTGTTGTTGTTACCGGGGATCGAACTCCAGTCCTTGCGCTTGCGAGGCAGGGGGTGGAACCATGGAGCTAAATCCCTGGCCCTTTTTTTTTGGTTTTTATTTGTTTTTTCTTCCCCTCCAGTACCAGGGATCGAACTCAGGACCTTGTGCTTTTGAGGCAGGCGCTGGTGCCACTGAGCCAAATCCCTGGCCCATGTTGGTTTGTTTTTTGAGATAAGTATCTGTGTTACCCAGGCAGGCCTTGAACTCAAGATCCTCCTGCCTCTGGCTCCTAAATAGCTGGGATTATGTGTGTGTGCTGCTGTGGCTGGTTTTTTCAACTGTAGTTAAAACTGACTTCATGTTTGTATCTAATAACTGACATATACAAGTCTGTTTTTGTTGATTGCTTTTTTTCATAACAAGTGGTATTTTCATGCTTCTTTGTGTTTCTGATAGCTTTTGTTTTGTTTTTGTTGGGTTTTTGTTTTGTTTTGTTTTTTGGTACTGGGGATCGAACTTGGGTCCTTGCGCTTGTGAGGCAGGCAGCGGAACCACTGAGCTAAATTCCCGGCCCCCTGTTTCTGATAGTTTTTGACTGTGTGTCTGGCGTTGTCATTCTTAACTGTTTGGTTACTGGGTGTTCCTGCATTCTCATAAATATTCTTTACTGTTTTTGTTGGTGGTGGTGCTGGGGATCAAGCCTAGGGCCTTACATATATATTCTTGAGCTCTGCTGTGGGTCACAGTTCCGTTCCTGGGAAACCACAGATAACCCCATTGTCCTCCTGAGCCCTGCTTTTTGTCATTGTTAGGTCAGAGCAGAGCAGGGTCCAGACCCCCGAGGCCGGGCCGCATCCCTGGTGTTGTGCTTGGCGCCCTCGCAGGAGCAGGTTTCCCTGCTCTACCTGGGCCATGGGGTCTCCTGGCTCTGTGTGTGTGGGGGGTCTGGGCCAGAGCTGGCTCGAAGCAGACAGTTGTTAAAATGTCAGGATGCCTGTGAGCCAGTTTATTAATAGAATTAAGTTGTATATGTTTATAATTAAGTTAATTACACTAAAAGGCAATTCTCAAAACTCCTTGCCTCCTAGTTATGTTACTGCATATTACTATTTTTTATGCACTCGTAATTTGCATCTGTTGTGTCCTTGTGATGGAAATGGCACTGTGTCATGTAGAGTGTGGGCTTCTATATACTCCCGCGCATGCAGATAGCGTGGTGGAGGTGAGCACACCACAGACATTGGCAACTTGGAAGTGGGAGCCATGTCCCACTCACCCTTCAGTTGTCACATCTTTCAGCGTATCTGCCCTTTGGGCGTCTTTCTCTTGAGCACTTACCTCCTCTCAGCTCACAGCTAAGGAGGAACCTTCACAGGTATTCTGAGATCTTGTTCGCCCTCTTTGCAGTGCTCACTGCTCTGCTTTTTTTTATTTGGTAAGAAAGCATGACCAAAAAAGCTGTGTTCTGGGGCCCGTGGCTGCTCCGGCCTCCCTGAATTCCCCACCCCAGTGTCTGCTCTCAGGGAGGCTGAGCTCACTCGGACCGCCCTCCATACTCCAGCTCAGACTGAACCCTCCAGGCAGTGAGCTCGGGCAGTTACGAATTGCCTTGGTCACTTTTTCATTAATTGCTGTCCTGTATTGTCTGGTTTTCGAACACTTTCATACATTTTTCTAGGTTTCAGCTGTTTCAGCTGAGTGTGTATCTCGTCCATTACTCTGTCTCTGCCGGAAGTGGCTGTCCCTTGGAAGACTATTAGATGGGAGGGTGATGTAGTAAGGCGTGGGTTTTATGTCACTCTGAGGGCTATGCATTTTAAAGGGACAAGGCTGAAAGTAGAGGGAATAACTAGAAGGCACGTGAGTCAGTTCAGCCTGGCTGAGTCTGATTTTCTGGGCCAGGTGGGCCCATAAATATCTTAACACACTAAGGTTTGGTAACAAACATGCTGAAGTACCACACAGATGTGATCACTTTCGTCTGAGCTTCACAGTAACCCTGAGCGGTAGGCAGGTGCCAGGTCCTTCAGTTTTTGGTGAAGAAGTAAGTGAAGGCAGAAGTGGGTTGCTGCTAGCCAGTTAATTATTGATTACACAGAATCATATTTCCATTTCCTCCCACCAGAGCTCTTCCTTGCTGTCTTTTTGTTGACTATAAAGTAGTCTTATTTCAAAAATCTATAGAAGATACTGAAACTGTGCCTTTGAATAATTAGGGAGCCAGGAAAATGTGGTATTTTTTGATCATGCTTTTTACCAAATAAAAATTCAGTTCAGCTTTTTATAGCAAGTAACTGTGAAAGATTGTCTAGGATAGGTGTTTGTATCGTTGGCCATTATCTTAATGCTTTTTATAACTGACTTTGAATGTTTCTTAGTTTCTTTTAAAATCATAATGTAATGCATAGTTTTTTCACTGACATAATCAGATAGGTACTAGATGAGTCTGTAGTGTATATAATCTTTCTTTTGAATTTTTTCCAAGCTTTTATAAAAAATACTACAAAAAAAGCCAGATGTGGTGGCACATGCCTGTAATTCCAGCTGCTCAGGTTGCTGAGATGAGAAGATTGCAAGTCCAAGGCCAGCCTTGGCTATTTAGTGGGACCTTGTCTAAAAATTAAAAAAAAGGCTTGCTTGGAATGAAGCTCAGTGGTAGAGTGCTTGTCTACATGCACATGGTCCTGGGTTCAGTCTCTAGTACCACACAAGACAAAACCGGAAA